GAGCCTCAGTGATGTGAAATGTGGCTGAATTTGTGAAAAAAAGGACAGTACTGTAAACAGCCGAAATTCTCATCCACACTTCTGGTAGAACAACGTCATGGATACAGTACATCGTTCATTGTCGATAAGTTTCCAATCTCGCTTCGTCTGCAGAGAAACAAATCAATCACTATTTTCATTATTAACGACATGTTCTTGAAGGTAGGTAATGCAAACTTCAAACTCAGAAACGAAGGCGAGAAAACATTAGTTTTAATACTCTGTAATCACTGTGACAATTCTTCCTGTTAGTGTAATTATCACCAGATGGACTGTCTAACACTTACCAAAGGTAGGGCTAGCTGCTTGAGAGTAGCGATTTCGTAGTCAGACAACACTTGTCTGAAAAACATGATCTTCGGCTTCCAGTTCATCACCTCCACCTTGATTGGGGCGAACTTCAGATACGGTCGATCTCTCTTGAAGTAGCAATAGAGATCTTTGGCGACCTCTGATGACTAAATAACGCGAATAAATATATTTTTTCTTTTATCTTTCTTTTAGGATGATGATGAATCTAGGTTATCGGCATAAAGGGTCATGAAGAACAGTAGTTTTCATCATATCAATACAGTGACTTGCAAAGAGAAATTTACCACTGCTCGTAACAAGGATAACTGTTTCGCAGTGAAACAGTTGGTTACATATAATATGGTTATCTTGGTATAATCAAGGGGAAATGACACCTGTGCAATGGATTATAGTTTGCGTTGGACGTTATAAGTACCGGCTTCAAAAACCACGGGGCACGGTAAATTTTCTCTTACCAGCCGACAATTATTTTAATCAAAGAATTCACCTGTATGCTTCGGTGCAACGGGTCAAAAACCTGGTAGCAGGTCGTTGACCTGTGAATAATAGTATGGTATGGTATGGCCATACCATACTATATGTGTATGGTGCTTTGGTATGGCCATGCAGGAGCCTATGAGATACATTACCATGCAGTCAGAGACGTGCGCTTAACGGCTACAGTTCGTCTTGACTTTAGCTGCTAACTGACTAAAAATCAGCACAAGATGTAAATATAAACTTGCTAAAAAATTTATAATCCATGGACAATCCAATGCAGAAGCAGTGGGTATCAAATACTGAGCACTCTGTCAGAATGCTGCATACCGTATTTAAGTCCGTGAGAATCGGTCGGAAGAAAACCGTACTCGCCATCGAAAGACACCACCACAAAATCTGTTCCAATACTCTAATACTCTAATGAATACTCCAATTCCACATTGCTAGTGATGAACTTCCATGAGAAACAGCATACAATTGAAGTATAATCAAAACACAATTTAAATAGTACCTATGACGAAACCTAAGAGAGAACGATATCTGAATGGTTCCATAGCCGAAACAGCGGTCATTAAAATCCAACAAACATGGCTTTCAAAACTACTGTCGGTTATTTACATAGACAAGGTAGTTCATTGGGTGGCACTGCAATCGAAAGAGGGTTACTTTGAACTGCAGTCGGATTAGTCACCTTTCGTCCATCATTAACAGATAAACTAGCATCATCTCGCTAGAAAGGAAATAAAACACTATATGCAGTGCTCGTCATGTGGCCGCATGCATCGCTTTCACAAATTAGACACTTCAGTCGATGGTGGTGGCATCAGAACGCAAAAGCTCCGGACTAAATAAAAGAAGGTGGGCATGCGTGGTAT